TGAATACTACTAGGGTCAACATATTCCTCACTGAATCTGCCACACAAAGGAAGAAAAATGGAACAGCAACGAGTTTGCAGTTTATCTCCTCCTGCATGCCCCTGAATGCTCAGATTGAACTTCTAGAAATGAGGAAGTAATGAATAACCCATCAGATGACTAGAAATCACCACAGAGGCACAAGAAATATGAGAAACTAAGAAAATACCTCTCCCCCAAGGAAAAAGGGTAACTCCTCTTTCTACTCAGACAGTACAATGGAACTCACAGAAATGTCTGATAAAGAATTTAGAATATTCATAATGACAAAGCTAACACAGATGAAAGAGAAGAGACACAATGAACTCCAGAAGAGGTAGGAGAAAGGAGCCATGAGTTCCAGGTGAGGAAGTTCTTGCGAGAACTGAAAGAAGAACTATATACCATGTAAATGAATCAAATGGAACTGTCAGAGATGAAGGATATAGTATAGGAAGTAAAAACCTCCCTTGAAAGTATTAAAAACAGACTAGATCACACAGAAAATCAAATCTCAAATGCAGAGAACAGAATCACTAGCCTAGAAAAATCCACCACAAATACTGAGAAAATAGCCCCCCAAAATGGGAATATACAAGAAATACTAGATACAATTAAATGTCCAAACATCCAGATAATTGGTATCCAAGAAGGTGAAGAGACTAATAAGGGCACTGATAATCTATTCCATGAAATCCTGGAAAAAAACTTTCCAAACCTAGAGAGACATTCGAAGATCCAGACTCAAGAAATACAAAGGACCCCAAATAGAATCAACCCAAGAACATCAACTCCAAGACACATTATAGCCAGATTGATCAAAACCACAAAGACAGGATACTAAAATTGGAAAGACAGAAATGTCAAGTTACCTACAGAGGATACCCAATTAGGCTAACAGCGGATCTCTCGTCAGGAACAATGTGAGCAAGAAAAGAATGGGAAAATATACTCAAAGTGTTGAGTGAAAAACAACTTCAATAAAGAATACTATATTCAGCAAGATTATCCTTCATATGGGAAGAGAAGACAAGAACATTCTCAGATAAAAAAAAAAAACTGAAAGAATTTACCGACACCAGACTAGCTCTCCAAGACATTCTGAAGGAAGTTTTATAACAGAAAAGCTAAATACAGACAGACAGAAATAAGAGTTCAAAAACAACTAAGAAAATGGCCAACATAATGGTAGGGACAAGCCCAGAGTTGAATGTTATCTTCCAGAATTTAAATGGAAAGGTTGGACCACAATAGAAGACAGGTTAAATACATCAGACTGAACTGGTGAAATGGGATTTTATGACTTTTGACTAAAACATTACTTACCCATCTTCTTCTATGCTTATTTTTCAGATTTAAGGCTCTCTGTCTTCTCTTGAACTGTCAATAGATTCGTGTATCTACTATTTGAACAGAATCCTAACCTGTTTCCTGACCTTAAGTCTTAAGCAAAGTTTTCTTAACACTTTTTGATTTATTAAAGCTAAAACTGCTGTTCGTGAAATTAAAAAACATATTGAAAAATACCTAGTTAATGACCACAGTAAACTATGTAGCCCCATTAAGTGCTAATTTATAGTATATTCATTCTACTCAGTTTCATGCCTAAAGTAAATGTGTGTTCACAAATAAGTATATATCAGCTGAACTTGCTATTGAAAGTAGTTAGAATCATTAAAGTATTTTGTGAGTCAATAAAATGTGGGAAAAAGTAAAAAAAAAATGGAAAGCAACTGCAGATACCTGAGACGCGTGGGAGGAGGATGGGAAATGGCAGGGGGAGAAAAAAACATACACACACATACACAAGAAACAAGAAATTGGGAACAGCAGTTGGAATAATAGCTATTCTGATGGACTTCCATGTAGTCAACTGCTGTTCGAGTCCCAGACCCAGTGGCTTAAACTCACACCAGGTGTATGTGCATGCGTGCCCAAGATCTTGAGAGGAGAATAGAGGAAAAGGGATTGCAGCATGGCCTTCCTCCCGGGGGTGGGGGGGGGTGGTGATTTCTTGTATTCTGTCTGTTTCTGTCTCTCTGGTAAGTGCACATGTCCTATACCAAAAACCTTTCCCCAAAAAAAGAAATGGACAATTATTTGTTGACAACAACGTAAAAGTAAGCCACTATACAGTGTATTCTGGATGAGAAATCATATTTTGTATGCTGTGATGATGTTCAGTGAAAGAATGTAAAATGTAAAATAAATTAGTTTACAAAAAGTTTTTTTTAAAGTTTAACCTCAAGACTCTAGAAACAACAAAGTAAACTCAAGGTAAATGGAAATAAAGAGCAGAACACAATGAAATAGAAAGTAGATGACAAAAAATTAACAGAACTCAAAGCTGGTTGGTTAAAATTTAGTTTTTATAACAAAGCCATCCAGACATTTAAATATTAAAGAAATAACCATCTTACATGGATTCTTCAAAAACCACAGAAAGATAAATTCCTTCCTTGCTGATAAAACTCCAATAAGAAAATATGATGAAAATAACAACAAATTGAAAATTACACCCTAATATCCCCTCAAATCTAGCAATATATACAGAAATTAATATGCCATTACTAAGTAGACTGGGTTCATTAAGCATAACATTTGCAAATTAATGCAATTCACCACAGTAACAGAATAAAAGAAAATGCGTAACTTCAAAAGTGGGAAAAAAATTTTTTTTTTTTTTTGGAGAGGAGAGGTTTTCGCTATAGGGCACGTGCGCTCGCCAGACAGAAAGAGACATAGAGACAGAAAGCGAGAAATCACCCCCCGGGGGGATGGCCACGCCGCAATCCCTTCTCCTCCATTCTCTTCTCAGGATCTTAGGCATGCACGCACACGCGTCCGGCGTGAGTTTTAAGCCACCGGGTCCAGGACGCGAACCTCAGTCGACTCCGTGGGAGTCCAGCGACATAGCCATTACACTAACTACTTGTTCCCAAAAGTGGGAAAAACATATGACAGAAATCAATCTCTGGGCTAGTCAATGGCACGGTGGTTAGTGCACCTGGATCCCACATGGCCAACTATGTTGTTCAGTCCTGGACCCAGTGGCTTGAAACAAAGCAAAACAAAAACACCCAACAGGGGCACATATGTGTGCATGCCCAAAAATCTGAAAGAAAGGTACAATGAAGAAAAGAGTGGCACGATCATCCTCATAGGAGTACTTTCTCACTCCCCTCTGCCTTTCTCTGTCCCTTTCCAGGAAATGCATGTGCCCTCTGGCAAATTGTGTGTGTGTGTGTGTGTATTTCCTCAACCTGATTAAAAAAAAAATAAAGTCTATAAAAACCTATAACCGACATATTTAAATATTGAATGCTTTCCACCTGTGATAGTGACTAAGACAGGGTGTGTAGTCTTCTAAATTTAGCGGCAATACTTGAGGTTCTAGCTATAGAAGTTAAGAAAAAAATGTATAAACACAGCAGCACAGTACGGGGGAGAGCAATAAATACTGGTTCTTATCAAGAATCATCACGAAGGGGGACCAGCAGTTAGCGTAATGGATATGTCGCTAGACTCCCATGTGGTTGAACGCGGTTCACGTCCCGGACCCGGTGGCTTAAAACTCACGTCGGGCGCGTGTGTGTGTGTGCCCAGGGTCCCGAGAGGAGAATGAAGGAGAAGGGATTGCGGAGTGGCCATCCCCCCTGGGGGGTGATATCTCGCTTTCTGTCTCTATGTCTTTCTCTGTCTGTCTGGCGAGCGCACGCGCCCTATAGCAAAAACCTCTAAAAAAAAGAATCATCAGGAAGGAAATTGTAGAGGAGATATGATAGAGTTCTCTATATCCTCCAATTCTCCTTGAGTAAATTTTTATAACCATACATGAATCAATAAACTAAGCTTGCTTTTTTTCCCCCAAGCTATTTAGGTGCTCAAGAAGAGTTATTACTAGGTCACTAATTTTTTAAAAATTATTTATTTAACTTTATTTATCCATTCATTCATTTTTATTTTGACCAGAGACACACACACAGACAGAAAGAGAGAGAGAAGGTGAGAAAGCAAGCCACCAGGTCCAGGATTTAAACTGTGGTCAGCCATGTGGGAGCATCCAGCACCTTAACCACAATGCCACTCGCTGGTCCCACTACGTCACTAATTCTTAGTATATCCACTGCTTTATAACAAAACCTTCATGTTATATTTCAGGCATTTTTTCCTATTAAATCCTAAGCAGGCCAGCTGATGATATGGAGGTCAAGGCATTGGATTCCACATGGCTGGCTATGTGGTTTGACTCCCAGAACCAGTGGCTTGAGAATCATGCCAGGCACATGTGTGTGCATGCCTAAAATCCCAAGAGGAGACTGGAGAAGGGACTGTGGTATGGTCATTTTCCCTGGGGAGTGATTTCTCACTTTCCCCCTCCCTCTGTCCCTCTCTGGCAAACACACTGCCCTATAGCAAAATAAATAAATAAATAAATAAATAAATAAAAATCCCGAGCAACTCCCAAACATAGTTATAAAATGAGGAGGCAGGCTGATTTGAGCTTCCCCTTACTTTTACACCTTTCCACTGGAAAACCTTCACAGTAAGACATGATTACATGTCACCCTCACTAATTCCCGATGGCCTTTCAGGCACTCTGATCATCAGACTTTTCTATGTACACTCAAATCATACAACATAGGCTAGTTCTAGACCATGAGTATAGTAAGCCCTCCATACACTACACTTAATTTACCAATTTACAGAGGTAAATTATTATATATTAATGCAAAAGGCTATTTGGAAAAATATTTTCCCTTGGCCTCCTGGAATATTTTCTTTGTATTTCAACATTATAAAGAGTACTTTTAAAGCTGTTAGCGGTACTTAGTTTCTATACCCTTTTCATATTTAACTTCCGAGGCTAAATGTCTACCTGTTTCTATTATTATAGCAAGCCAAGGGCTGTGATTTGCAGTTCCTTTTTTACACATACATGTATCTCCTAAAAAGGAAGTCGAGGACAGACTCTCACAAACCTGTGTAAGATAATCAGCGATGTATTCTGTTCTCAAGCAGTACACATTCTGGGCCGCAGCTTCTGCTACATTAATTCTGGAGTCATCTGGCTTCATTTTGTTAAAGTCAGAAAACAGATGTGTGGCCTCTCTAAATAAGGACACAGAATGACCGGGTAGCACCTAATGAAAACAATAGGTATCACAATTGATCAGTACCCAGAATACTCAAGGTGTGTATGTGCTTAATGACCATCTCGGAAAGCACAGAAAGTGAATAGCTGATGCACAACTGCCTTGGTTAGATAGTAATTCACGTAAAAATCCAGAAAATTGATTCAATACGAACCTTTGCTCCTCCTGACTGAAGAAGGCGTTTAAACCCTGCTTCTCGGGACTGATCAACATGTAAAATAACCTTCCACCCGCTGAATGCCCCCTACAAACAGAAAGCAATCAGTGTTGATATCATTTACAAAATAAATGGCAAAATAATATAATGCATGACTTATTAGTAGATTGAGTTTTACATCCACGAATAATAGCCTTATAACCTCTATTTTTTCCACAGTGCAATCTTTTCACAGCCATGGTATATGACACACAGCAGGCCATTAATACTTGAGGAATGAATGGGAACAAAATCTTTAATGACCAGGTAACACCAAAACAAAGCAGCTTGATGTATGTTTAATCTTTAACAGTATTTTCCTTTTTCTCACAATTAAATAGAGAACAACAATTAACAGAGCCAATGCAATTAAGGAAAGGAAATCCAGGCTAACAAAGATTAGAAGATATCAGAAAGCTTGAAATACAACATGAAAGACTGTCTAACTCAAAGGTTCTCAACACTTTTTGTGAACTATGGACCCTTTCTTGAAGGAATTTAGTAGCTTTAGGGTCAGCCTATGGTGTGGTGGTTAAAATGGCTGGATCCCATGTGACCAACTGCACAGTTCAAGTCCCTGGAAACTTGGGAAACAGGTTGAACACTTGTGTTTACATGCCCAGGATTCAAAAGGAGGGAGAAACTGGGGAAAAAATGATTGCAGTGTGGTCATTCCCCCATGGGGATGCTTTCTCACTTTCCATGTCTCTGATCCTCTCCAGTGAGTACATGTACCCTCTGGCAAAATTAAAAAAAAAAAAAAAAAAAAAAAAAAAAAAAAAAAAAAAAAAAAAAAAAAAAGAATAAATAAATGTGACAGCTGTACTGAGATGCAATTCTCATACCATATGAATGTTTTATTTTTAAACATTCAAAATAAAATATAAAGGGATACGAAGGAAACCATTTTATTGAAAGTTGTCCAAAATTAAAAATAAATTTATGTATAATATAATATATGGGCTTTATATTAAAGAATTAAATTACAAGACCCAGTGGTGAGTCTAATAACTACTATGATTTTAAGGTAGTGATAAACATAAGCAGAATTTTTTTTTCTATCTTTTCTGGAGGCTTCTGCCTTAGGGAGTGTGTACTCGCAGAGAGAGAAAGAGAGAAAGAGGGAAAGTGAAAAATTCCTAAGGGGATGACATACTGCAATCCCTTTTCCTCCATTCTCCTCCCAGGATCTTGGGCAACCACACAAATGCACCCAGCATGATGTTCAAGCCACCAGTCTAGAACTGAAACTGTGGTTGGCCATGTGGGAGTCCAGCAACATAACTGCTACACCATCTGCTGCCCCTCCCCCCACAGAGTATTTCAAAATGGTTACAATTATACTGCAAAACAAAAATATCTGATTTCTGTTGGTACAAAATCACAAATATGGTTAATAGTGTAATTTGTTGCCTTATTAATTAATTAATTAAAAGGAAATGCTAACTTGGAATTAGTAAAAATGAGAACACATTTTTCTGACATCCAAAGTATATAGCTTTCTAGGTTAAGAACCTCTGAAACTAGATGCTGAAAAGAAATCCAATATGGGTCACATTTTATACATTTCTAAAGAATAATTATTTTATTTAATTTTTAAAAGTATTATTATTTAATCTGACCACAGAGAGTGAAAGAATGAAAGAGGGAAACTGAGAAAGCAAGCCTCCAGGAAAAATTCAAACTGCAGTCAGCAGTCAGCCATGTGACAGTCTAGGCCCCTAACCACCATACTACCTGCCAGCCCACGCATATACACTGTCATTATTATTATTTTATTACCAGGGGGCGAGTATGCTCACCAGAAAGAGAGCGAGCAAGACAGGGAGAAATAAAAATTACCCCCTAGAGGGCCTATTCACACCACAATCCCTTCTTCTCCATTTCTCCAACCTTTTGAGATTTGGGACACACATGCACATGTATCGTGTGATCACCACGCCTCTAGGTAAAGATCCAAACAACGGTTAGCTTGCTCCCTTAACCACTAGGACATGGAGTCAGCAACATTATAGGGTGTTCAGAAAAGTCATGATGCATTTTTGCACAGAAAAACATAGAAAAAATACATCATGACTTGGCCAACAATGTAATATATATCTTACTATTAAACACAATTAGAAGAACTAAGAATTGGGGTCAGCAGATGGCGGGGTGGTTAAGGGCACTGGACTCCCCCATGGCGAATTGCAGTTCGAGTCCTGGACCTGTTGGCTTGCTTTCTCACTTTCCCTCTCTTTCTCTCTCTCACTCTGTTCAAATTTAAATAAAATTATTTAAATAATTCTTAAGAAAAAAAAAAAAAGACCCACTAAGAAATTAACATTAAGCTCAATTTAGAAGGCCCAACCTAAGTATATCAGTCAAAGAATAAAAGACAAATATGAAGCACTTCTGTTTGGTCAAATATATTTTCCTTAAAAATAATTCTGGAAGAGGCGCAATATTTAATGTCATGCATTTACGTATATAAGCATGCGTATTATTACCTCAACAATGCCTAATTCTTGCCTTTGCTGGATTTTTTTCCTCCATCTCATTGCTGCCAGTGCTAGTCTTCGCTGCTGTACATTGATTCCAGTCAGAACATCAAGTATGGAGCTACATCCCCATTCATAGTCTTCTTCCTAGAGGATTGATTGGTCCAACAACATTTTTTTGAAACTTGCATCTTTTTAAAGCATTATTTATATCTTCCATGAGTGAGATGGGGAGACACAGAGCACTCCCGAAGGGCCTGATGCCATGACCCACCCTGAGTTTCAGCTAGCTCCGGTCACAGGCATGCAGGTGGCTGGCATGCTTACAGAAGTCTCTGGGCATGAACCCGAACCTCCCGGTGTGGGTTTGCCCCTTTGAGTGTCACATGTTACTGCTGTGCCATCATCTGCTCCCCCATTTTGCCCAACAACCTTTTGAATCACAATATGGGGAGAGCCACTGTGCTGTGTTCAGATTTCTCTACTAGAAGAGCCCACAGTCTACACATTAGAGCTATACACTCAGTTATCATAAATACGTAGAGTATATACATGAGTATCATTTTATATGCATGCAGAATATGTTAATTTGGCTCGAAATAGTCAAGTATATCTGGTTTTTAACTAGGCATCAGAAATAATTGGTTGCACGGGTCGACTACGTGAGAGTCCAGCAACATAGCCATTACGCCCACTGCTGGTCACCCGGCCCCAACATGTAGAGTAAACCTTCACATGAGTTTGAGTACACACCTGCACGAAATGTCCAGCTGTCCTGCATGCTTCAAGGTAAGAGCGATGGAGTACCCACTTCCCAGCTGCCACTGACGCTAAATACTTCTCATTTCGAAGTGGGTGTCCCACAACAATGTGTGTGCACTTGGGATCGAAGCACTGCTTCTCTATCACCGATCCACCTGAGGCAGAGAAACATCAGCTGCACTTAACTGATACTCTTTTCAGGAAAAAAGTTTTTTCAACTATGTACACAAATGATTTGTAAACAAAACACCCTAAACAGCCTAAACCAAAGAACACTGTGTGTGTGTATACATGAAGTACCTTTTTTTTTGGAGAGGTTTTTGCTATACAGCATGTGCGGTCACCGGTAAGAGACAGACAGAGAGATAGAAAGTGAGAATCATCCCCCGGGGGGATGGCCGCGCTGCAATCCCTTCTCCATTCTCCTCTTGGGATCTTGGGAACATATGCACACATGCCCAGCGTGAGTTTAATCCACCAGGTCCGGGACTCAAACCATGATAGAGATCAGGGAGTTCAGTGACATAGCCATTACGCTAACTGCTGGTCCCATGAAATAAGTTTTATTATGAAAATTTAAAATATAAAAGTAGATAAAACAGTCAAATAAACACCTATACACTGGCTGCCTGGATTCTAAAATTAACAAAATTTTGCCATCCTAATTTCAATCTCCCATTTTTTCTTA